TGGATGTCAGGATGATTATTCTGGGTTTCGTATATTCGTACCTCAGCATCAATTTATTGTTGTCTTGTTGCTATCTTACTAAGTAATAATAATGCCTTCCCATAGATATGGGAGTGCCCTTAGATAAAAAAAAACAAAAAAACTATATGCTAAAAATAGGACGAAATAAGTAAGTATAAAGATCTTGAAATTGAAACAAAAGTGGCGCCTTAAAGCTATTGTTATGTCTATAATTATTGGGACTCTGGGTAAGATCAAAAATGGTACAGCCAAGAACATTAACAAAATTTCTGGCAATCCCTGTTCAGAAGAGATTCAAACAATTGCAATGTGTAGAACTGCTCATATACACAGGAGTATATTATTAATGTAAAGAGATAAACACAGTACATGTTAAGTAGCACTAAACATTAGAATTTGTTCAAACAGAATGCATATATTTTCTGCCTTGTCTGTCTCAGTCTGTACTTAACAGAAAGCAAAAAATATATATATAACAATAGTCCTGGTATCCAATATAAAATGTACTCTAAAGAAACAGAAAAGATGAAAAAATATCAGGACCTGGTTAAGAAGTTAAAGATATAAAATATAACTGTTAAAATAATTCCTGCAGTACCGGGTGCAGTTGGAACACCACTTAGAAACTTGAAAGAACACTTTAGGAAAATTAGAATTGAGACCAAGATTTTTGACATCCAGAAAACTGCCATTATTTACTGTGAAGATTCTCTAAAGACTTCTTCATTTGCAAGGAATCTTGTTGACACCATGCCTCAAGAACAGAATTTCTATTGACTACATTAATATGCAACAGCAACATATTAATTATAATAATAATTTAGCATAAATTGGATAATATAAAGAAAAAATATCAAAACAAAGAGGACCAGTTTGATGGAATTTTCTAGATCTTGATGTGCGTTTGCCAATCATCAGAAGATGACGTCTTAAAATGTAAAAGTTATTAATTGAAGTTCAAGTTTACCAATTTTATTTAAACTTTACTTTCACAGTTTAGAACCAATCAATCATTGACTACCTCAACGATATCAACAATTCTTTTGGTGTGAAACATTATGGCCATTGCTTATTGTCTGACCAGCGAAAGCCGAGTTTTAACAAAGCTTTTCTTAAGTGATATTACTGCTGTATACTTGAGTTTTTGGTTTGTCTTTGAGTAACATCCATACCTTTAGAGACACTTTCTTGATTGTATAAAATACACACACATAGAAAAAAAAAAAAAGAAAAAAGAATGACAAGAAAAACTCAGTGAGATGAAGTTGGGGAGATAGCAGAACTTGGCATGGGGGTCGGGTCTAGACTCTTCCCTGCCAGACTCGTTCTTTTTTTTTTATAGATGAAATAAGATAGACAACAGTCAGCTGGTAAATGTATACATTTCATTAAAAATGGCACTGGTTATAGTAATCCTCCTTTTCTGTAAAGCCACAATGAAGCGTAATCACAGTCCAAGAGAGGAAAGATAAATTTGGTGCCATCGTGGCATGATCATTTTAAATTAGATGAAATGTCAAGTAAAAAAAAACAAAAAAAAAACATTTCAGTTCACAAATAAACAGATATAGGATTTCCTTGAAGGAGCTTTGAATAAAATCATTTTGACAAGAATACTTTTTGTACTCTCTTTTCTTTATTTTTTTAAAATTATTTTTTCTTCTTACCGTTACAGTTATTAGTGTGTGCGTCCAAAAACCAGGTGTATAGGTTCTCAATTCAACAAAGTAGAGATTTTATACTGAAAACATGACTTTTTTTTTCTGGCTTGGCGCCACTATCTTTATTTGATTTATCAAGATTTCTTTTTTCTTTTTACCCCCTTTGATTCTGTGTGTGTTTGTGCATGCATGCATTTGCGTATATATGTATGTGTTCTTGTGTGTTTGTGCACATGTCTCTGTATGTGTTAGTGCATGTTTATGCCTATACATTTGTGTAAGTATATATATATATATATATATATATATAAGTATGTGTTTGTGGGTTATCTGTTTGATCCATCCTTGAGTTGGGAAGGGAGTAAGAAAATTAATTCTTTGTTTTTCTTTTTTTGTTTGTTTGCTTATATTTCCCAAGTTGGGTTGTCCTCCCAAACAAGCATCCATACACACTTGGCAATCATACAATCATACACTGTTTGGCTCAAGCACCCCAATCAATAGTGACCATTCACCTGTGATTTTTTTTTGTGTTTTTTTTTTTTTTTTTGTGTGATGGCTTTACCCACAAAGTACTATGAGCTGAGCTGACAGGGGCAAGATGAATGAAAAGAGACAAGAATTTGGGGGCGGCCAATTCATTTTTTTTTTTTTTTTAAATATCTTCTCCAATAGGTGACAAAATTATTTCATATTGAACTCTAAAGAGAGAATCTTGGCAAACTTGGATCTTTGTGCCTGCAAAAAATGGAGTGTCAAATTGTCAGCTTTCTATTGACACCTCAACAATGTTCATTGTTTAAAAAGGGGTGATTAAAATCATAATAAAACCTAAACATATGAAATGGAATTTATACATTTTCTTTGTTCTTCAGAATTTTCAACAAAAATAATAAACACGATTTATTTATTAGATTGTTTATTGGAATGGTTGGCAAAACATCGGCTAATTGCAAATTGATTTGAACGATATAAAATGGTAAATAAAGATTTTCTTATTGTTGGCTCACATTTTAATTTAGTAAATGTTTAAAAATTTCTGAATAAAAAAAATTATAAATTAGTAAATGATAAATATTGCATTGCATTAGTTTTAATTATATTAGTTTTTCGAATATTGTAAATGATAAGATAAAGAATAAATAGTAAACATTTAACAATTGAACATGTTTCACTTTTATTAAAGATTCTTCAAAGAATCAGATGTGGAGAAAAAGAATTAAAATTTTTCTCCATGTCTCATTCTCTAAAGGAAAATAAGTTAGATTTATAAATGTTTCCTATTTGTTCTTTATCTTACGATTCTGTTGGATTCCGATGCATATTTGATCTGTATTTGATCCCAACTCATCAATGTTGTAAATATAAAATTATTTTGCTAAATAAACAATCTAATAAGTAAATAGTCTTTAATATTTTTGCTGTAAGATCTCAAGAACAAAAAACAAGGTATAAATTTACTTTAGGTTTTATTAAAAATTTTAAGAAATCAAAGAAAATGTATAAATTCGCTTTCATATGTTTAGGTTTTATTTCAATTCTAATAATTTGCTTATAAAATAATAAACATGGCCAAGTAGCGAACAGAGTTAAGCATAATAGTGGTGTCAATAGAAAACACGTCCTTTTGACATTCTGTTTTTTTGAAGGCACAAAGGTCGAACTTTGCCAGAATCTCAAATATTATTTGTAATATTCTTAGCAATCTTTCAAAAAGACACTTCGTTAGGCAATGAGTAAAGTGCTATTTTTTAATTACTTTGTTGACTATGAAATAGATTTGAATATACAGACCTCCCAGTCAGATATAAACTTACTGGCAATGGCTTGTGAGAATAGCACACAAACCATTACTTTATTAGTAGTCGGTGTTCAACTAAGTTTACTTATTTATTTACTAAATATTGCTTGAAAATTACTTAGCCATATTTTTTTTATGACTGAAAAAAAAATGTCAAAATTTATTATGTTTTAAGTTCATTAGTAAATGGTCACTAGATATTACATTGTCTGTAGATTTTCTTGCCTTCCCAGTGACAAATGTTACTCTGTTTTAATGGACAAAAAAATCTTAGTATTAATGGTAGCTGAACAAGGCTTGCAACACTCTCCCCCACCTGACAGTCATCGTTGGTCATCAGCACTAGTGAGGGTCACACAGAAAGCAACTGCAGCAAAATTGTTTTCATTCTTTGAATTAAGGCTGCAATTTTTAATTTGTCATTTAGTTCTTTTTTTTATATATTTTTTGAAATTTTACTGCAGTATATATATATATATATATTTTTTTAGTTGAGTTTTTAGTTTTATTTTCTTGCTTCTATAAGTGATTTTTTTTTTTTTTTTTTTTTTTTTTTCAACCAAGGAAAAAAAAACTAGAACAGTGAAAGAAAGATGGGGTGGGGGGAAAGGAGGTGGGAAAGAAAAATGTAAAAAGCTGGTTTCCTATTGTACAAGAGATTTTGCATTTTATTTTTTTATTAACTTAAAACTACGATAAGTTTTAATAGATTAGTCATTAAAAAAAAAAAAATGACAGCACAGATGGTGTTAATGTTTTTTTTTGTTCCTTTTCTAAGGGAAGGAGATGCAGATCTGTTTGTTTTTAATAACTGGATCATTAATGTGAAATTTTCTTTTTTTTTTTTCCTTTTTTTTTTTTTGTTTCTTTTTTTTTTCTTATTTTTGTAGGATCAAGGAAATGTAAGAAATCCTTAAAAAAAAATATTTTTATATAATTAAAAAGGTAGGAAAAGGAAGGACTTGAAATTTACAGAAAGAACATATACCCCAAAAATATTTTTTACACTTTTTTTTTTTCAAATTTTAATTTCTTCCATTTACCTTCTCCAAAAATCAAAGCAATAAAAAAAAAAAATAAAAATAAAATACTAGAAACAAAATATTTTTTACACCCCTTATTTTTCTTATTGATGGTGTTATAATAATTTGTCTTTTTTTATTTTTTATCATTTTGCCTACAATGTAGGTAAAAAAATGCTAGCGACAGCCACATCTATATGCATGAACAGCCATAGCAGTCGCAACAGTGATAAAAGCCACAACAGCTTGTGAAAATTGACAGATCAGGATCAAATATAGATAAGCAACCATCACCAAAAACCCACCCAAACCCCACCCTGTCCCAATCCTGTCCTCCCAGGGTATCTGTTGCTACGGCGACGGCTGCATCTGCCTTTGCAGTTGCCGCTCCTGGTGGTCGTTCCAGTGGCAGGAATGCAGTGAATTTGTCAGGTTCCGGCTTTATCACAGAAGACAAAATGGTCTCATGGAGACACTGTCGCAGACGATCACCATTCAGTTGTGGTTCCGGGGGATAGTGTTGATGGTGTTGCTGTTCAGGTCAGCATTGCCACTCTGACAATCCCTTGTCTGAAAGGCAAAAGAAAGCACAAGAATTTAATATTAGTTGAAAATCCATTCAGAATGGTTTTGCTTTCTGAATTTATTCAGAAAAAAAAAAAGATAATAATGGCGATCTTTAATAATGACACTATAAAATGATTTTAATGAACTGAACTTCTACTGAAAGGTCACATGTGATTTTATTGTTATTGGATGACTATAGCTTTAACCATAACATCAATTTATGCAACATGATATTGGAGGTAGGGTGTATTACACAAATAGATTAAAACATTTATTCACACATTTTTTTTTAATAAATTGTTCACTTTATTGCTATTTGGTAAATATAACTTGAACCAAATCAACTGTGATATCACAGGTATTATTAAACAATACAGTAGTATATAATATTATAGTATATACTATTGTACTGAATTTTATTTGTAATATTTATTATTGAAATGTATTTCTTATATGGTATGATAGTTAATTGTACTCAAGTCATGTTCCTAAATAGTCTCATGAGATCAAGACTTTCATATGAATGCCAAACCCATTCAGAAATATCTAAACTGCTTTCTGTATAAAACCCTTTTCTCAGGTCAATGATTACAAATGACTTCCAGCAAATAAACCCCGCAGTTCTTAGCAAGGACAATCCTTCTTTGGAACTTGTGGACTGGTACTACAGACAAAGAACTGTACCAAATAACTTAAAACATCACTTGAGGACTTTCAACATCATCAACAACTAAAATAGATATCCCATGTAATATCAAAACTGGAAAGACTAATAACAGTTACTGCACTTAAAAAAAAAAAAACTTTCATGAAAAATAATTTTAATAGAAAGATTTTTATACATTTCAACCCAAAACAGCAATGGCTGCTTAGTCAATGAATGCTGAATATTTCCTTATAGAGGAAACAGCTAATATAACCATTACTATATCATCACCCTTCAACCTCACTTTGGTTGGTTGGAACTCCATTAAAAATCCCTTTCCACACTGCTCAGTCCTGCATTGCTGTTCACAGATTCCCAATGTCCAACCATGAGTCCTGAGCCATGATATCTGTGAAAGTCAACTTTCCTGAGAAGACCCCTCCAGAAGAATGCCATAGAAATAAGGATTGAGAACTGTTTATTCAGACATACAGTGTTAAATATGTGTTTATGCCTGTATTTATACACTTTGAGTAGATGAAATATGTCAGAGGGTAGTTCATCTAAGTGAAGGAAAACTTTGGTTTTTAAACCTCTGCTGCCTTGCAGCCATACCCAATCACGAGAAAGGCTTGGGGAGTTAAACCCTGTGGGAAAATCCAGAGCTGGTATCTCTAAGACAGTGAAAATTCAAATTCCAAGTTGGTGTCTGGAGCGGGATAATTCCCTTCATGGCTTGAAAGAAGTCTTTTAGCCTCGGGTGGTCATCTTTCTAGAGATAGTATATTGACAAAAACACTTGGTTGTAGGGTTGGCATCCCACATTTTGTATTGGCTACTGAAAGAACTATCATAACTATTACTAAATAGTATCATGTTGAATTGTATTGTAATATCTAGTTTTGTAGTGAACCATATTGTAGTTAATAAGTAGTAAAAACAATGTTCTGTCCAGGGTATGATGATAAACTACATCCGTGTCCAGGGTAAGATGATAAACTACGTCCAACAGCAAGGTCTCTGATCAAGAGGTTTTGAAGAGCGTAGAACCACCTCTTAATTGCTGGTGTTTCCACCATGACCTGGGGTGGTAGCACCTGTTAGGGTTCCAGCTATGGGCAAATAGTTAACCCCCGAAACTGAGGTAAAAAGCATTATAAAAGTATAAAAATAGGTTTTAATACTAGAAAAACATTGTAAAAAAATTAATACCAGAAATAAATTTTTGAATGAAAAAAAAAATATTACCAGAAATAGATTTTGACAAAGCAAAATATTACCAGGAAAAAAAAAATTGTCAGCATTAAATAACACATTGCGGTTGATATGCCACAAAACAAAACTAAACCAAAAACAATGTTACAAAATAATAGCAATAGTGAAAATAAGTAATGCTAATAAGTTCATCAAAACTTAAAAATGACATAAGCAGTTTGAATAGGGATTGGTTTTTGCCTTGATTTCAAATCAAACTTCTTTCACTATTTTTAGATGTTTCTCAAAGCATAATTAAATAACCAAAATAAAAATGTCAGGTCTTCTAGACTTCATTTTTTTTTTTCCTCCTGAATGAATTGAACTGAACTCAATGTAGCAAGCCATAATACTCACCCATTTGTCTCGCTGCTTTTTGTAGTCTTCAAACAAAACACACCATTCCTGGAACTTTAACATCCAGTCCTTTTCAATCTCTGCCTTCCCTAAAACAGTAGATATACAATTATTGCAATTTGGTATTATATCAAAAGATTTAAAGATTTATAAATCTAAATAAATGAAGACATTTTTCTCTGACAAACTGTTAAAAAAAATTTAAAAAAAACTTTCTGTTGATTCCAGTCTTCAGTAAGAATCATGACAAAACACTTATCCCCTCCCCAATTTATAGGCTGAAGCATACAAATGCATGCTGGGATTTTTTTCTTAGCAAATAAAATGTTCTGGTTCTTGATTTCATCTGACTCAGTCTCGATCTGTTTTTAAAATATCTGAATTATTCCGGTAACTTTTAATTAAAATCTTCAGGTATGTTAATTATTGTTTTTAATTTACCCATTGAGAAAAATCTACTTGGCTACAACATGATTATAAGTCTCATAACATACTAGAGTCATAAGGGCTCCACATATACTACAGCCTTAGTAGCAGTTGTTTCCTGGGCAAGATAGCCTGATAGAACCCAACCCTCTCAAGGCTAGTTTTGAATTCAATTTTCCTACACCTAGACCAGCTACCATCCAAGGGTATAGGACCCATTCTGTCCTCTCACAGCTGGGGGAGAAGAGATAGATTCATACCTTTTCCAAGGGTATTAGTATATAAATGAATGTAATGGACTCAACTGGAATTTGAACTCTTCTCTCTGATTCTTCAATCTGAGCCACTATTCATTACTTCACTGTACCTCCTGCCATCTCTGCTTTTACTTTATAATTGCTATATAAGACTACTTTGTTTTTAGTTTGGTACAGAAAATCGAATTTATTGCTACATTCACTATTATCCTAGATATTTGAAACTTTACATAATACCATGTTTTTCTAGATTTAACATTCGATATGGTTCAGATAGATTGGAATAAATAATTTGAACTACCTTTGAACACAAGTTTAGTTTAGTATTTTTTGCTAGTTACTTTTGATATGTCAATAAAAAAAAGTATATTTTTTAAAAAGAATTACAAGAAAAGTACATTTTGGGGAGACAGTTGTGAGATAAAAACATTTTGGAGGGAGAATTGCAATAAAAGTACATTTTGGTTAGAGAATTTCAATAAAAATGCATTTTTAAGTGAGAGTTGCAATAAAAGTATATTTTACAGAGAGTTGCAATAAAAGAAAATTTTAGAGAGAGAATTACAATAAAAGTACATTTTGAAGAGTTTTATAATAATCTCATGGAGGTGAAAATAAAATCTTTAGATATTGTTTTCAGCAACAGCATTTGATATAATTTTTTTAAAAATCATCCATCTGCAAATAACTAGATGAATTCAAATTATCCAATTACAGTATATTATCAGAGTAGTATGCTGGATCTTTCCTGGCATTTCTTGGATCCATTTCCTGACTCAGTGGTACCTATCTCCTCTCTAATTAAATTAGTACATGATACTAAATTACATGACAACAATAAGAGAAAGTAAAATATCTAACCTGACCATTTTAGAAGTGGTGGTTTCTTGCCTTTACAAAGAGTATTAGTGCAAAATGAACACAAATTACCACCACCAGAACTTGGTTCTATTTTTTGACTATTAACCAAAAAGTCAGTATTAACTTCAGAAACATTAAGTATTAAAAAAACATAAGACTATTCATATCTTAAAACTAATGGTTAAGAATGGTTACTTTTCAGTTCTTCAAGTGTTTTCTGAGTCAACAAATACAATTAATTTGGAAAATTGATTTTTATCCTATGGAGATCTTGAAATCACAAAGTCACTTATGGTTGAACACTAATGCCAGAGGATAAAATACTGTTTTAATACAAGTTTAGCTTGCAGCTCAACTTTAGGTATTTTCATTAAAGGCCATATGTTTTCATTTAGCACCACACAGGCTATTCCCTAAAAGCAGTCTCTGATATGTTTCTGAGTGGTCAATTATTTATATGTAATATTGATTGATTTATTTTTCATGGTTTATCAATACTTTGTAAGTTATTTAGAGCCAGAAAATATTTTTAGATTCTAAGATTTTTTTTTTTTTTAATAATAATTTAGAGAAAAAATTCCTACTAATTAACATATATATAGGGGGAGAAGAGGTGGATTCATACCTTTCCAATTTTTTTGCATGCTAGGAGATAAATGTTACTATTATGTCTTGAAAAAGGGCTGAAATTTTCATTGACAAATGTGTTGACCACTTGACCAATAGTGAGAATCTCACATGTTTGTGTGTAGGCAGAGAAGAAAAGTGGGGTCAAATCTTACTGGTTTGGAAATAGTGTCTTGATAACTATAAGTGATTATTATTTTTGACACTATAATTTTTATTTATTTACTTTTTTAGGGACACAAAACAATGACAGTATAATTAATTTTTTATTTCTTTATGGAAACAATATCTTCTATATAATGATATTATGATCTATATCATGATAATAATAATCTTACTATGATAGTCTTCAGATGTGTACATGAAATAAACTTGGTAGTAAAGATCTATAAAAAGTGAAAATAAGTTTGATACACTCTAAATGATATATATGAATTAAAACGATATTCACACAGTTTTTTTTTGTTTTTTTTTAGGTGCCACCATTTTTAAATTTCAGTCATAGACTAAATCCCTTGGATAATCAGAAAATATAAATATTATCACTTTTAAAATATATGTCAGACAGAAATTCATTACCAAGAATGGAATAGATTTCTGTATTTTTAGTTTAGCATAAATAGTTACAAACCTGACAATGTCTGGCATCACATCAACAAAAATGTTTGTCAACCACTCAAAGATAAAGAAAAATTTAATGAAAAAGCTTTTTGACTAGTTTAAACATGGTTAACTAATTTGCCTAAAATTTCTGGGATCTACACATACATCATCATGGACAAATGGTTAGAGTACAGTGTAACCTGGATATAAGAGATTTTCTCTGGTCCCAAATTAGAGCCTGTGTTAATGTATATAAAATAGACCAAACCCGGATATAAGAGAAACCCGGATATAAGAGATTTTCTCTGGTCCCAAATTAGAGCCTGTGTTAATGTATATAAAATAGACCAAACCCGGATATAAGAGAAACCCGGATATAAGAGAGATTTTCTCTGGTCCCAAATTAGAGCCTGTGTTAATGTATATAAAATAGACCAAACCCGGATATAAGAGAGATTTTCCCTGGTCCCAAATTAGAGCCTGTGTTAATGTATATAATAGACCAAACCCGGATATAAGAGAAACCCGGATATAAGAGAGATTTTCCCTGGTCCCAAATTAGAGCCTGTGTTAATGTATATAAAATAGACCAAACCCGGATATAAGAGAAACCCGGATATAAGAGAGATTGTCTCTGGTCCCAAATTAGAGCCTGTGTTAATGTATATAAAATAGACCAAACCCGGATATAAGAGAAACCCGGATATAAGAGATTTCTCTGGTCCCAAATTAGAGCCTGTGTTAATGTATATAAAATAGACCAAACCCGGATATAAGAGAAACCCGGATATAAGAGAGATTTTCTCTGGTCCCAAATTAGAGCCTGTGTTAATGTATATAAAATAGACCAAACCCGGATATAAGAGAAACCCGGATATAAGAGAGATTTTCTCTGGTCCCAAATTAGAGCCTGTGTTAATGTATATAAAATAGACCAAACCCGGATATAAGAGAAACCCGGATATAAGAGAGATTGTCTCTGGTCCCAAATTAGAGCCTGTGTTAATGTATATAAAATAGACCAAACCCGGATATAAGAGAAACCCGGATATAAGAGAGATTGTCTCTGGTCCCAAATTAGAGCCTGTGTTAATGTATATAAAATAGACCAAACCCGGATATAAGAGAGATTTTCTCTGGTCCCAAATTAGAGCCTGTGTTAATGTATATAAAATAGACCAAACCCGGATATAAGAGAAACCCGGATATAAGAGACTTCTTCTCCAGTCCCGACAATTCTCTTATATCCGGGTTACGCTGTATTTGCATTTTGACTGTGGGACTCTGGCTTAAAATCTTACCATGGCTAGATGAAGACACCATTGCCACTGTCTTACCATTATGCAGGAAGTATTTCTGCCCCAATTTTCATTCATTTAAGCATGAAACACTGTCACCGCTGGCTGTTGACTTCAATGTTCATTTTGTATATATATATATATATATATATATATATATATATATACAGTGTGCATTTTAGATTTTTAATTTTGTGCATGTACATTGCTTGTTTTTGATTTTGTTGACTACACAGTATAGGAGACTCGGTTGGGCTCCATCAGTGAGAAAAAGAAGACCCTGACGCAATTCAGTTTGCCAGAAATTTGGAAACTGCATGCTGTAATGCTTGACATTCACACCAGAAACTTCAATATGAACATTTCCAAGTGTTTGGGTGTCAATCTTGAGGACAGTGCAAAAGATTCAGAAAGAGTTGAATGAGTCTAATGGTGATTCCAAAGGTACAGCAGCTCAGGGAAACATACTCTGGTCATTCTAATAATTGAAGAACTCCCGAATTTGTTGGTGAGGGCCTCAGACTCAACACAGAGGTCTACATCAAGTGCCTTGAGGGTATAGTGCTTCTTTGGCTCAAGAGGGTGGCTACTGGAAGAGTCAATGTCTGACAATAGGACTCTGCACCATAACACACAAGCAGAAGAATCCAGTCATGACTGTCAGACAAATTTTGTGACTACATCACCCCTTATATATGGCCACCTAACTCCCCAAACTGCAACCCCCTTGATTATTATGTGTGGGGTGCAGTTGAGCAAGAGACCAACAAAACTCCTTGTCACACCAAAGATGAACTGAAGGCAAGGATGATTATTATTCATCAACTTAAAGAGACCATTTGCAGGAGATCCCAAAGTTGTTTGGAGGCCATGACTGAAGCCAATGGTGATTTTATTGAATAAATTTACTCTTAAGTATCTCCTAGATTTTTTTTAATTTTTTTTTTTTTTTCATAATTCAGACGACAATTTATTCATCGCACTTTGTGTGCACATGCACACACACACACACATCTATCTATCTATCTATCTATATCTATCTATATATATATATATATATATATATATATATTTAGTGTTTGGGGCAGCAGATCATTATTCAAACACATATTGTTCAATAGACAATGAATGTCTATTATGTTTGATCATGAGCTGTTCTAAGCTTCATACAGTTGCTTTAGTTTTGGAAGAAAATAAAGACAAAATTGTCCAGCATTTGGATATTTTTTATTACGCTGTTTCTTGATCTAAGCTATTTGCTTAAATAAGCCATCTTCAGAGTGGTTATATGGACATTTAAACAAAGATGTTCACCATCAAGGAACAGCATAATAAAAAAAATATCCAAATGCTGGACAGTTTGGTCATTATTTTCTCCTGAAATTAAAGCAGCTATATGAAACTGAGACGACTTATGATCAAACATAATAGACATTTGTTGTGTGTTATATTTAACAATATATGCTTGTACGTATGTGTGTATATATATATATATATATATATATATATCACTTGAAGATGAGATACAGTATAATTAAGTATACCTGGGAATCCATTTCCCAGGAAACACTTGCTCATTGCACTAACAGGATATGGTTAGTGGATGCCAATGGAATAGAATAATTTTTACATTTACTCATAGAAATGTTTCAATTTTCATATTTAAAAAAGCCTTGTACCAATTTGCACTTCAGTAGTAAAATGAATTAATATTCTACATGCATGCAGAAATTTCAGTAAATTTGTTACACTGTCAGACAAAAAAAATCCCCAAATAATCATTCCTTGTTTCTCTATAATTTTGAAATCTTATAATGAAAAAGTGAATTTTCTTCTAAAATACTTAAATCTGGCAAAGCATACTTACCAAAAAAGAAAAATGACTGAATCTATACATTATCTACCCAAATTGCAAAACATCTTTTCCATTAAGGCAAAATTTTTATTTTGAATAAAAATTTACTCAATTAACTATTGCATATGCGCCAAAATTTACTGAAAAATCAGTACCACACAAAATGACATACATACAATTTTTCTCTTCTTCTTAAAACATTTTTCTATTTCAGAACACATTTTTGAATTAAATTGAATATTTACTTTTAAAAGTATTTTCGCTTGCAAAGCAATTTTGTGATGGACAGGCTGAATTTGTCTTTTGTATATATATATAATATATATATATATATATATATATAAGCATGAGGAAAAACTAACATCTCCAAAGATAAAATCCCAATGAAAATGGGTAAAGAAGTAGCCGAAAGTGTTTTGAACAATGAAAATTATAGAAAATATCTGTACTCCTACAAAATGGAAAAATAAGGATACTGGAATAATATATATATATATATATATATATATATATATATATAATGAAATGATTATTTATTAATCCAACAGATTTTATTATCCATTAAAAATAACATGTAAATAATAAAATATATACACTAGTATATAATGATAAAAATATAATTTTAAGGTATGCTATATCTATTAGTAAAAGTACTCAATATCAGAGATAGATCATATGTAAATATGACCTGAAGATTGCAGTCAAGCATGAAACTATTTCCACTATATATATATATATATATATATATAATGAAATTGACTAAGTCTGACAATTATTTTAATATATTTTCTGTTTATATGTTATCTTTATAGATAAAAGTGTTTAAGTAAATGGTCTGTTTTTAATAAAAAGTATTAATTACATTTAATAGCCTGAATTAATACTGTTTATTTAAATAATTGTATTTATAAAAAATAATATATAAACAGAAAATATATTAAAATAATTGTTGGACTTAGTCCAATCAAAATGTTGTCATTTATGTTAATATACACCTCAGACAGATATGATCATTTGAGAAAGATTGTAGGAAATTTTTTGTTTAAAAACAGTAATTTCGACTTTGCTAACCAGATGCTTCCTCTGTAGCCGAGTGGTATAGCACATCAGATAAAATGACCTGTGTAGGACACATGTTCACTTCCTCTCAGAAAACACATTTTCTATAAAATTTCTCAGACATTCAGGCTGGTAAATGTAATTAATGCTGTTTATTATAGACAGAACATTTAATTAAATAATTTTGTCTATAAAAATAATGTATAAACAGAAAATATATATAGTGGATATTGAAGTCAACATGCAGAGCTGACAGTGTTACATGTTAAATGCGATTGTCAGGCCATGACTTGATGATTACATTTAAACATGTAACAGACTGTCACTGCTGAGTGTTGACCTCAATGTCCACTTTCATATTTACATACACTCTCTCTGATATTGATCATTTTGATCTATAAATATAGTATAACTTAAAATGATATTTTATCATTTATATATATATATATATATATATATATATATATATATATATATATATAATAAAAGAACATATAGAAAACATTTTTCAAGCCAACATGTTTCTCTTTTATTAAAGCTTCATCGGAGAATGAGATATTGAGAAAAATAATTCTGATATTTTTATTTTTGTGTTTGATCTCCATTGATTAATCAAGTTTCACATGCATTCAACTTTAATTTGAAACACCATAAATTATACTCCTGCCTGTTTAACAACACAAAAATAAAAATACGAGAATTTCTTTTTTTAAATATCTCATTCTTTACTGTTGTAAGCATTCCATCTTTTTTTTTTTATTCATTACAGTGTGTTTAATTCCAATATGCCTGAGTTGATTGGTAAGTATACTTGCATGTATGTTAAAAGTGACAAATACAGAAGACTTATAACATTGAAGTAAAAAATTTTAAGTGTTAGCAATTAAGTAAATTAGACAAGTAAATAGAATGACATAAAGCAAGCGATTAGAAGTGAAAATTACATATACTAATCTAGTTGAGTGATTAGAACATTAGCATTCCAACCATGAGATCTGGGTTCGTATCTCCCCATGGTTGATTTATAAAAAAATTGACTTCTTGATAACATTGGCCTAAGGAGATGATTCCAGCATGCAACACTGTCTTCAGAATCAAGTACCCATTATTATTATTGTCATGTCAGTATTTTCTCAGATAATATCTTAAATGATAGAATTAATGCATGGCTAGCAGACCACAACCAGGAACCTTAGATATCATGCAGTTTTCTTCTGACTCTAAGTGTTCATCACTTTTTGGATTTTTCTTGCTGTTCTGAAGAGGTTTCCTTGCTGCAAACAGATACACTGGGCAGTCAATGCCAATTTTCTTTATCCATGTCTCTCTTCTCAGTTACATGACAAGAGTGTGACTGCGATCATCTCCAGCTTGTGAGTTCAATTTTCACCGGATCATAGTTAATTACTTTCCCTTCTTCCTTTTGTTCTATCCTTGTATCAGAAGACATTAATTAACCCTTTTTGTCTTATTTTTATCACCCACTAATATGTCCAGTTTGTTGTCTGCCAGTTCCTTATCTGTTTCTATTGAAAAATCACACAAGAATCTTGCACGTTTCTGACTGGACTTTCTCAGCTCTATGGTTTTGCCGTTTATTTCTCTTGATGAAAACTCTCACTTCTGACACAATTTCCTATGTTTTATTATTATTTCCTTTGATTTCTGTTATATATACATTTTCTCCCAGGTTACAACCAGAGACCTAAGATCAGAAATGGCTTCATAACATTTTCCACTGATCATGTTTGTTAAAAAAAATAAATAAATAAATAAATAAAATGTAGCAGATGTAGTGAACCAGAACCCGAGTTGAGGGGCAGAAAGTGGTGAACGAGATTTTGCATGTGTCTCAAAGTGAGAGAGTTCATCTGGGTTTGGCATGTAGGACTTGAGAAAAGGCAAGTATCTCGTTCCATCAAACAAGACCATCTTGGAGAAAAAAGTGAGTTCTGTCGATGTACATTGTACGAAACGTGCAGTTGTGATAGAACAAAGAAAGCAGATACAAGGCAGAGATGATGATGAATACCAAGAAACCAGTGTAGAAGGGAGACACACCCAATCTGAAATTGCGTCCAACAACAGAGTAGCAAATTTCTTTTGACCCCATAAAAAAATGAAAACCTAAGGTCACAGACATTTTACATTTCCTAATGTGTGAGCGGTACTTGTGAGTACAATTTATTGCATTTCATTAAGGCATTAGTCTAATGGAACCGTTTTCAATCAATTTGAGGGCTCCAACTACAACTGGAATTATTGATGTTATTATTATTTTTGTTAAGATTAGTTTAAAGGATTTAGTTTTGAGAAAATGGTTTCATTGTAGTTTTTAAGCTTCAGGTTAGAAACTGGCATTAGAATTGGTGATTTTTGGTGGTCTTTTACCCTGAGAATCTCCAGGTTCTAGTGGTTCAACATCCTGACCTAAAAATAGAATTAGATCAACATACAAATGGTATATTTGCTTTATTTTTCTATGAGAGGGAAGATTTTGTATCCAAATTTATTGATTTATTTTTATTTTTTTTATTTTTTTTTTTTTTGGTGGGGAGAAAATTATTTATTATCGATTCACAAAAAGAAAAAGACATGAAGCAGATGTTTAAACGGTTTTGTAAGTAAAAATAGTTCATCTGAAATTTTTGGCAAGAAAGAGGATATGTGATGTTTTTTTTGTTTTTTTTTTAAGAAAAGATATAGGCTTGCTAATTGGTTATTTAATGAAGCATAGGCTATATTTTTTATACAATGTAGTGATAAAATGTTATAGGAATCAAAGAATAAAATATAACTAATATAACTGCATATTGCATAAGACAATAGATAAAGAAAAGTTCAAAGCACTTATCTTTCTGTCATTAAGTTTTGCTGATACACTGCTCATCAGAGATAAACTTATTGAATTTACTAGCAGATAACATATTTATGTATTCTATATAAAAAAAAAAAAGCCCACTAATTATTGATGCTAGACAAAACACCAGATGTGTTCAATCCCCAAAAATATAGTTTTACCTTCTGCTTGTGCTATTAGGCAAAACCGGGGTGGGGGACAATTGTCTGTCAGTGACAAGGTGAGTGGCCTGGAGGAGAGATATCTAGTGGGCTCTGAGAGTGTCTGCAACTGAGTCACTCCAGCATCTTCTTGATCTGCCTACTGCTCTCCAGCCAGAGTACCTGAGGGTGTATGCTTGTAGGGCTGGTTGGTTGAAAGGCATACGAGTGAGGTGTCCAAAAATACTTGATCCTCTGTCGTTTGATGTGTTGTATGATTGGTATTGTTCCTCCCATACCTCTTAGTGCTTCATTTCTGATCTTGTCTCATCTTATTGAGATTTTGTTTTTATATTTTCACCATTTGAAATATTAGACATATTTAAGTCATGATAATATTGAAAATTACCAATTAAGTTTTATTTATTTGTTGCTATTTATTTTGTTCATATTTTATTATTATTTACACTATTTACATTTGGACTATTGTCCTCCTCTTTTTTTTGTTGTTATCATAATGTTTCGGCCATTGTGTACCCTACCCCTCACCAGCATACAATTCAGACAGAAATTGTTTTATTATTTTATTTTAGAAGGAATCTTGAAGTTGGAAAATAAATCTTTTGAACTTTTCTTTAGCTATTAAATATTGTTGCTCTGCTTTTTAATGGTGAGCACTTTTACAAAACAATGCCCACCTTTAAACACATTAAACTCCAGTAATTTACTGGTCTGTGTTTATTAGGCATTAATGGTATGTATTGTTGTTATTATTATTATTATTGCATAAGATATAAAAAAAAACTCTGATAGGAGAAACAATATTATCAACACATGATATCATTTGTTTTCAAGATATTACAAACTGAAGGTGAAAGAACTGGTCTGGATTATTAATTATTAAATTAAATAAAATACACTGCAAAAAGGAAAAGCAAAGAAAGTACTAAATATTGTACAAACTTTATATACAAGGTCTGATTGAAAAGTATGGATTATTCCCAATTACTTTGAAGTAAGAATGCCTTAATTTATTCTATCTGTCAGTTTATGAATAAAACAAATGTAGTGATCAATTTTAACATTCCAAAAAAGGTCATAAAAATAAATGAAGAACTGGAAGAAGTCCAGGAATACATCTACTTAGGACAGATAATAGCATTAAGAAAAGACCATGAAGAAGAAAAAAAAATAGGTTGGAAAGCATTTGATAAAAATAGGGACATAATAAATGTGCCTTGTCAATATGCTTAAAATATATAATTAATGTGTAATACCCAATATGGTGTAGAGGTGTAAAACAAAGTAATTAGGCAAATCAAATGAAAAACCACTTGAGAAAGGATAAAAGAGCAATGGAAGAAGTTAAGGATGTCAACAAAATAGAGATCAACGTATCAGAGAGGAGATGAAGATAAGAGAAAAACATATAAATGAAAAACAAACATGGTGTTAGGCAGGGTTATAGTAAGAAGAAATGATAATAGATGGAGCAAAAGTTTTCTTGATTAGGGCCCAATGTATAGCAACATTATAGAGAGAAAATAGGGAACAGTTTGAGAAAATTAAATGGAGGTATTTGTTAGTAAGAGAAGGTAGAGAATAACAGAATCAGCAAGGATTGGAAATAGGCCTTACTTCCGTAGTGATAACTGATGATGATAATCATATATATATATATATATATATATATATACACACACACACACACATATTTCATTAAAGACAGACAAAGTGCTGCAATTAAGCTTTTTATCTAATTTTTCTTGTTTTCGAACAAGCATTTCTTTTTTTGACACAGTGTGTAGAAACTGTCCAAATGTTTTTAGAATTCTGAGCACTTTCTGCTATACTTTAGCTATTATCAAGGATGATTTTATTTCTGCTTTTTAATTGGGTGTATGGGCTGTGTGTAGGTTATACAGATGTTTTATTTTCCAAACACAGCTAGTGCATTGTGGCTGTGTTTGTAGTTAATATTATTAAGTGTTGGCTTTTTTATTATTAAGGCTTCCATTATTTTTAATCTTTATGGAAGTCTTAATAATAAAGAGGAAAAAGCCAACACTTAATAATATTAACTACAAACACACAGCCACAATGTGCTGTTTTTAGAAAATAAAACATCCATATAACTCTAAAACATACAATCCATACACCCAATTTAAGGGGTGATATGATCACAGATATTGTCTAACAGCCATGACTGCATTCTCTTGCTTGTGTGACATGGTGCAGAGTACTATTGGCAGACATAGCATTTTCCAGCTGCCGTGACCCAGGGTAGCACTACTTTCTCAAAGAAGCTAATGTAGGTCTCTGTGTTGAGTCTGAGGCCCTCACCAACAATTTTAAGAGTTCTTATCAGAACAATCAAGAGTGAGTTTTCTGAGCTGCCGTACCTTACAAATCACCATTAGACTGATCCAACTCTATCCAAATCCTCTGCACTGTCCAAGGAGTACAGTATGCCATTTTTAAACTGAGTTGCATCATGGTTCTCTTTTTCTCAGACAATGCTGAAATGACTCTACTATACTGAGCAGTTGATAAAATCAAAAACAAGCAACACATATGTGCAAAATTAAAAATATAAAATGGTGGCATTTGTACATTTACTGTATGTATGTATGTATGTATACATATATATAAATAAAATTCTATGCTAACATTTTCTTCTCTTGCACTTCTCACTTGTGGAACACTCTTACAGCTCCATGCTTTCCAGCCAACTTTGATCTTCAAAAAATTAAATGTACTGTCAATCGTTATCCACTTTCTTCTTTCTTGCTCTTCTATTGTTCTTGATCCTTAATGTTTCTTTTTGTTCTTATTCTTTTACATTCAGTAACCCCTTGTGTCTGAATGGGTTTAACACCTTGCTTGCAGTGAAATGATTATATATATATATATATATATATATATATATATATATCAATTCTCAGAAGATAAATATCAGTATAATAGACAAAAGTTTTATTAGCTACATTTTCAGGACTATCTGTTCCACAAAGTGTCAGTTCTTGGGAACAAGCTGCCTGAGTAGAACATCATTTTACCCTTGAAACACAAGGGGAAATGATGGCCATTCAATTCTGAAAGTAGCATAGCATATCCTAGAAATAAAAGTTTGAACAAATGGAACTAAAGATCTGAATCTGCTTAAATGAAACTGATTTTAACCTAATGATATTTTTGCTATAAGTATTGATATTCAACAGCAAAGACAACCTTGTTTAACATTGTTTCTTACAGCATATGCTTTTTTTTTTCCTTTTTGCTTGAAATAAAGATTAAGCTTTTTTCTTTTAATTAAATTCTTGTATAAATTCTTTTATTTTGCTATTTTTGAGTTCTGGGGAAATTTCTCTGCTTTTTAGCATTTTACATTGTTTTAATTTAAAAGAAATTTTGAATAATAAACAAAAATTCCAATGTTAATAGGCACGTCATGTTCCTAAAATAATTCTTTTAATTATCAGGTTACTGAAATAGTGTTCGTTTAAACCATGTTCATTTTTTTTTTTGTACTAAAAAACAATCAAGAAAAACTAATGGGATAAAATAAAATGGATTTATTCGCAGTTGAAGGAAGAAAATAAAATTGTACAATCATAGAGAGGTTCTCCTTGAGTTGTGCTAAGCAAAATGAATATTTTGCTACCAATGTATACAGGTGATGGGGATATTTGTATCTGTTGGTAATTTTAATATTCATGAACAAACCTATTTTGATGTTAGCTGAGCAAGAAAATCATTTTAAAATATCAAATTGGTTCAGTTTTCTCAACTAGTTTTGCATAAAAGAAAAACGTTAAATTATTTTGAATTGATATACTTTACTTATCTGTCAGTACTTTGGGTTTTGAAAAGCCATTAACAATGACAATTTTTTTTATAATTCTGTGGTATGCATGTATTATAATTTTAGTGCTTTTTTGAATATTGAATATTGTATTTTCCACATGCCATGCAATTTTTAAAGTAACACACACACACACACACACATAATTAATAATTTCATTGGTCTCACAAAATAAAATATTACCATGGCTTTCTGAAGTCTCTGATTTGTTAATTAAATATTATTTGCTCTGTTTATTACATTGAGCTCTCAGGATGTATATCCTCCTTGGAATTATCTATACAGATTACCAATTAACTTTCTCATATTTTATTTGTATGTGTGTGTATATATATATATATATATATACACACACAAGGTCTGTCTGAAAAGTAATGTGACTGTTTGTACTATGGCTGTAAGAGGAATAACTGGATTATGTTTAACATGATCTCTTGTGGGTATATAACTGTAATCTTAGTTTTCTGAAACCATTGCATTTTTTTTCACATGCAAGAGATATGTTAGGAAAAGTTTTGGCTGCTTCACGACAACAATGCAATTGCTCACAAGGCCCTGATCATCC